TTAATTAACCACAAAATTGCACCAAATATTGTCTTACTTATAATATTTCCCTCGAAATTAATTACTATTTCTCTGCGCACCGGACAAACAAGTAGTTTGTATCAGTGTTTGGTCAGCCACAGCATCGCCTTTCTACTAGCATTCTTCATTCCCGATAATATTTTACATAAACATGTATACATAAATTAGTCGTTTTTTTTATTCGTGTATCACGTGCACACGTTATAAATAAAATAAACAAATTTTTGAACGATTTTAATGTTAATAAAATATTGTTCCTTATAAATCCCCAAGAATTAAAATATAATTGCAAATTCTAATTAGTACAATAAAATTAATTGTTTATATATTTTCTTCTGTTACATAAAAATAATGGTAAATAAATTGAATTTCAACTAAAGTATTGAAAAACGAAGCGCGACTGAAATTCGTTTTATATCGTTAGATGCCAAAGTAGAAACTATCAGGAAAAAAAATATGTATGCACTAACACGACCCTTATTAGGTATTTAATAACTGGCCGCAGCCGATCGTCAACAGGCTCGAAATAAACCGTATAAGAGTTCTACTATTCCTATACGGTCGTCGTACCTCAAACCTCGCGGGTATGCCAACTATTTCTCGTGCTCGACGGCATGATCGCCGTCGCATAATCATTCCGGGGCGGCGCACAATGAGCAGACAAAACGCCGAAGAATCCCTCGCGCTCGAGTTATTTTTATTACGATCGATTCATTTCTTCCCTCCGCTCCCAGCCTCTCTCGCTCTCCTTTCCTCTACCATGGTGGCCCATCCATTTCTCTTACCCCTTTCCCTCTCACACGGCGGCAATACGGTCGGCATTCATTGCCGTATGCAGCCGGCGCGGCGGCGGCGGCGGCGCCGCCGACGGTATGCACCGCCATTGCACCGCGCGCGCGAGCCGATCTTAAGGTAACCAGACTTATGTGCATTCCTGCTCGCGCCTCCCTGCCGCTGCTGTCCTCCTCCTCCCCCCCCCCTCTCTCTCTCCCTCTCTCTGCCTTTCTCTCCACGACGCATTTCAACGGCTGGAATTCCGCGCAATTTCCCCCGTTATAAACGTGCACGCGCGAGGAGGTGCTCGCGGCGCGCCAACAACGAAATATTGACATTGCCGGCGGGGATGCGGACGCATCGGCGGAAAATGCACTCGTTTTGAACTCGAATCGTCGCAGACGCGAAGAGGAAGGTCGTCAGCCTGGGGGGGGAGGGGTGGAGGACGAGGGAGACTACTGGCGCTAGGTATTTTCGCGCGATGCATTTTTCCACGGAGTCACGCGCGTGCACGCGACGGCCGACGTGCTTACGGACGCGGAAAACGCCGGGGCCGGCGCCGTGATACATATACCTACGCCGTTGTGTCTCCCCGAGCGCGGCTGCGGGGAAAAAAATGTGAGTAATCGCGACCGCGGTGAATTTCCGGCTCGAGAGGAAGAAAAAAAAAAGAGAAAAAAGAAAAAATGATTGGACGGCGGCTCTCATTTACCGCGCGTTTCCGTCCGCTAGGTTTCTTCTAAATCGTGTCGCGTGATGCGAAGAGATACCTATATAGGTACAAATGCTTCCGCATTGATAAACGCGGATGCCTATAAAACGCGCGCGCAACAAATAGATGCCACGGATGCGGAACTTGCATCATCTGGATTACCGAAGCATATTCTTCAACAGAGAGAGAAAGAGAGAGAAAGAGTCATTCTTCTCTATTTGCGAGAAGGAAATTTAAAAAATTTCAAAAGTATTCCCGATATTATTTAACGTACGTAGGTATTCGAAGCGGGGATCTTCCGAGAAGAGTGAAGTTTCAGAGAGTTGCAGCAACAATTAACAAAGCACCTTGCATATTAATGAAAGAGAGCTTTGTAATAACGCTTCCATATACTCGATTGCTGATAAGCCGCATCCCCGCGTGAACGCAGCCCACGTGAATTTTAACGAAGGGGATATAAATTGCTGGCGTATCTCCAGAACGACTTTATTTATACGAAGGCAAATGAAACAACTGAAGAACACTGCGCGGTGCAGTGTAATATAAATTTTATTTTATCGCAAAAAATATATATTACGCGAGCAAAATGCGCATCATGGGGAGGGAGGGAATTGCCTCCTGCATTCCGCGCATTGTTGTACCGAGGAAATTAAAATTTTCCAATAACGAAGTGTCCTTCATGTTACCCGCTTTGATTAATCCTCCATAATGCGGGATATCGAGTGCGTGGAATCGAGGAGCGGAAACGAGGAAGTGAAGTAGCCTCTCGCCTCTCCGTTAGTACGATCGTCATTTCGTGCAAGATAACTGAAAAAAAAACTCGCCGAAGAGAGAGCTTTCGTTAGAGAATCGGCTTTCCACGGTATAAGTACAGGCCCATTAAAATTCCTCACGAGGTTTGATTAACCCATTCAATGTCCGAAGCCTGGCATTCAACGTCGACGCACCTGAATCCAACTCCGACGTGTGTTCCATCAGTTGCTCAGCCATCTGACAGGAAATTAATTCATTATGATGTTTCTCTCTCTCTCTCTCTCTCTCTCTCTCCCCCCCCCTCTCTTCCCTCCTTTCTCTCTCTCTCTCTGTCTCTCTTCTTGCGCTGCATTGCGTAATTTCTTCTATTATTCGTAAACATGTATCGCTTATTAAGTATCAATCGAGGGGGCAACCACTCTTGAATTCCGGTGTACAACCCGTCAGAATTCCGATAAAGTCCGGTGAAGTCCGTTGAAGTCCGACGTAGTCCGATAAAAATGTAGTCAAATTTATAAAAAAAAGATCATCAGTTTTGATCGAGTTCTTTGAAAGCCCTTGTCTGGACATTAACATTCGTCTGAAAGTTTGTTGAAAAATTTCGCCGGTGTTTCCAGACGAAGACCCGAAAAGTGGCAACCATATCCATAAAAGTCTAGTGAAGTCCGATGAATTCCGGTATAATCCGATAAAGTCCGTAAAGTCCAGTGAAGTTTTGAAGTCAGAAGTCCAGATGTATAATACATATATTTTCTGAGGTTATACCCCCTCGATATCAATTAACGAAGCTCGCGATACTGATTGCGATTAATACGACGCACGTGCAGTAATTAACGCGCGATACGGCGGCCGTCGCGTTTGTAATACGTGTTGCATTCGGCGCGATTTTGCGGAAGTACAAACAATGTTTTTCGTATCTAGAATTCTCCGAAAATGAAAATTTCGTCCGGCATTCCCCCCGCGCACGCGAGGGCAGTACATGCATTTTAGAATATAAAATTTCATTCTCGAAAATCGAACACTTCGCACGGAATGCCGTTGATTAACTGCTCGTTAAAATATAAAAAAAAAGATCATTCTACATTTCTAATATTCTTTTTTACACGCGAGTTTTTACGGCTGCAACGGGGATGACGCGTAATATAATAATTCTATTCCGCGAATGCAGGATAAACATATGTGTGTATTTGCTGGATGCTTTCATATACGTTTTTCCGACTATTGATCTGAACAACAAGCTATTGACTGCGTTTATATTTTGCGCTACGTGCGAACGTGTACCATTTATTTATTAAATATGATGGACGGCTGCATTAAAAGAGAGAGTGAGAGAGAGAGAAGGAGAGACAATATATTTTCATTTCGCGTGCATTTTGTGTACAAATACTTTGTGCACGCGGAACGTTAATTATCAATTTATTATTGAAATTTTCATTAATACAGTAAATATAAGAGAATATTCTGCTTCTTACAATTACATGTTGAAAATTTCACCAACAACCTTATAATATCTGCAACATAATTATTGACAATGAACGCGAGTCGAAATTACTAAATAAATCGGAATATTCGCGATCGGGTTTCCGTTTCTTCGGTAATTTCAATAGAAAACGCACAACGCTGTTACGCGCTTAATGAAGAGAGAAAGAGATGAGAAAGGGGAGCGGAATGCCTATTTAAAAGCTCTTTAAATAATTTTTTCGAAGCTTTATCCTCGGGGACACGGCGGGAGGCACGAGCGCGTGCAACAACGACCGTCAGCGGAATTCACTCGAGAGGCGTTAATCTTTTTTTTTCAGCAGGGCATCCACCACCGTTTTAAGCCACCGAGTGTGCCAGCGGGCACGCTCTCTCTCTCCGCCGTCCGGTGCGGCGCGGCGCGGCGGTTACGCTCGAATTTTTACGAGTATCGATTCTCACGCTTCGCACCGACACTCCTCCTTTTTGCGCGTTCCAGCAGCGCGTCGAGCTGCTGATCGTTCGTTTTACACAGGATCGCTTAAACGATGGCGGCGGCCCCTTTTATTATTATACGAGAGGTCTCGTCCAACGAATCGTTTTCTCCGCAGCTGTACTATTGTTTCTCCCGACGCAATTTTTATAGCCGGCCGCTTCCGCGCGCGCGCGCGCGCACGAGAGGGAGGAGAGAGATTCACCTGCGCGCTTTTCCATTAAAGAAATTTCCATATTAATGGAAGCCTGACGAAGACGACAGGCCGCGAAACACACAGGCGAGAGAGAACGAGAAAGCGCGGCCTCGCCGCGAGTCGATGAAAAATGCGTCACACTGAGTGTTTCCGCGTGGCACTTTTAGAGCGGAAGGCTGCAGGTCGGGATAAATTTGAAAATAATTTTCCCTCCGCCGTTTTCGAATTTGCGAAATATCCGTCTTACTTTTAACGCGAAATACATACACATACTAATATAAAATTATAGTCTAATTTATATTAACTTAACTATTATATAAAATACATATAGCGTTTTAATTGATAATAGAATTACCTGTGGAGAGTACATAATTCTGTTTCGTCTAATTGAATGTCTTATAAAGTCTTGAAATATAAATTATCTCGTTCTGCGCTTAAGTGCCGATTATATTTTTTACGAAGAGAAATTTTTTTTTTCTTAATTCGTATACGTCGTCGAAATTATAACGCCGAGGGCTGTTATAGAATATTCCACGTTTCTGCGTTTCTTCCCGCGAATGCTGACAAGACTTTGTTGCCGTTTCTGCCCGCAGGCGAGAAGCACCACATGCTGCCCACCGGAGAGCTGCTCATCTTCTCGGTGACTCCCGCCGACGCTCACTCGACCTACCGATGCCGCACTGTACACCACGTAACCGGTGACACCGTGGAAAGTTCCTCGTACGCCAGGCTCGTGGTTACCGGTAAGTCCTCGCAGGACGTCCGTAAGTCCGTCAGCCCGGATCTCTTCGAGCGGAAGTCTCCCGGAAATCCTACCTCGATACTGAGCGGAGCTCCCTGAGATTGAGAGGCGGAGTTGAGGAAAGGGAAATTCGGAGTTAACGATAAGCCACGTAAAAGGCGCTGCCCGGAATAATGACGAGGCATCAATTATGCAGTAATTAACACGCCGAATGGTCTAATGATAATTCACTTTTCAGGAATACTCAAATGTCATAATTTTAATTAATATCCTTCTCACTGGAAAAATTTAATTTTTCAATCAATTGTATATTTTAAATATTCTATATAAAGAAGATCTAAAAATTTAAATTATTTAAAAAATGAAGGAATAGATGATTATTGAGATTCCGAAGGATAAAAAAAGAAAAATTATAGGAATTAATAAAGTAATTTTAATATCAAAAATTGAAAAAAATTAAACTAATTATAAAGAATTGAATTCTAAAAGGAATACGATTATTAAAGATTGGATCAAATCCACATTTAAAGCTTAGGGAGGAGGAATTGACAGGCGATGACCAATTATAAACGAAGTTCCGATATTGATCTCAATCTTTCTTGTATTCTCGTAGCGCTACAACTTAGCTGCTATATAATTCATTTAACCCTTCGTACGGGTAACAGGGTCAAATAGATCGATAGTCCGAATTTCGAGCTATATAGCAGTTTGATGATTCCTTTATCTCGGTTAAGTAAACTATTAAAAAACGTACATGCGTGACAGAAGTTTGAAGAAGAAGTAGATCCTCTTATTTATTAGAAGTAGATCCTCAGATTGTCGGATATATGTAACCTTTTTTGAAACTCGCACTGGAGACATATTTTTTTATCTCAAAGTACTACATTTTAGGACTATCATCCATAAATTTTAGCTAAAAAAGTTATGATTTCTTTACAAGTTACAATCCACTTTTTTACGTGTACGTTTTAAAAAAATGTTTAACATTAATTGAAGGTTATGTTATTGTTAATAAAACTTTCAATGTTTAAACGTTCCATAATTTTTTTGTTCGAATCAGATGGATCAGATAGTTTTGAAATGACAGCCACTTCAAAATCAATGTAGCTAATTTGACTCATTGTTAGTGACAACATCGTGAAACGTGACAAAGGTGTTACAATGAAGGGTTAAATATTATAAGATATCTAAATCTACACTGTTGAATCTATTGTGTCAAATTGAACCTTATTTAAGTCACCACTGCTCCTGCTTAATAAATAATTATTTTTAACTAAAACAATATATTGTAGTTACTTTTAAATAAAACAATGGAATTTAACCCAAATTTAGGTTAAATTTGAACTGTTTTAAATTATTTAACTCCATTGTTTTAGTAAAAAAGAACTATTTATTAAGTATAAGCTCAGAGGCGACTTAAATAAGGTTTAGTTTGACACTATAGATTTAACAGTGAACAAAGGATGTAAATGCGCGTCTTCCGCGGCGCTCACGGCCCATGCATAAACATTCCCTCGGCGATCTCTTACATCTCGCAAATCCCTTACGCCCGTTACGTTTCACGTGTCCGCGGCAAAACGTTCTGGCGGCATAATTGTGATCCGCCCTGTACGTGAGCGGCCGTTCATCCGTAGCATTTCTCGGGCAATGCCCACAGCCGACGGGATATCCCCCGCGTTTTATGCATCTACTTAACTAAACACGTTTATACACGGCTCTCTCTCTATCTCTCTCCCCCCTCTCTCTCTCTCTCTCTCTCTCTCTCTCTCTCACGTATCTATTCCTCCGCACACAGCGAATCGTGATGCATTGTTGCGCATTTCCCGCACGCCGCCCGACCTCGTATAGTTCGGAGTCTCTCCTCTTGCGGCCTCCGGTCGCACGTGGCGCTTTCTTCATGAATAAATCATGAGTGTCCGAAATGCTAATGGCCGAAATGTTCGCCGACGATATTTCTGCCGACCGGTTGAGCCAAATGCACCGACATCGTCGAAAATATGCTCGGTATTTGAGGGGACAGTGGCATCAGGCCGCGCACCTGCCGATGTCGCACGGCGAACAGATTCGAGAAAATCGTCTAATTTCGCCGAAAATTTATTACAGAGACATTCCTTTCGCGGGGAAATTGATTTTGATGCAAAAGTCTCATTTTATCCCGAGCGAATTTCGCTCGGATCTTCGATCGTATCCTTTTAACAAATTTCACAACTTCTATTTAATATTTAATTCGTCGCTTTTGAAGTTTCTCGCAAACTAAATAGATTCAGATTTTCGCGTCTCATCATTTATATGTATATGTCTTGCGATTAAATATAACGCACTAAAGATTTTTTTTAGTAGTGTCCCGATTAACCCTAGACTACCATAACTGCAGGATAAAATTTACCCGGACCATTTTTGAAGTGCGTGATCTTCCGACAGGATTGAAGAAGTGGGTTTGCGATGTGGGGGGGGGGGAGGGAACTTACAAGTGTCCTCTACAACCTTCCATCATAAGCTACGTCATTCCATTTAGTATTGCCATTCCAGCCACGCGTAAAGTTCAACAATCGGTCTAGTTCACTCGGTCAAATAAATGTTTTTTAAAGTGAATATAAGGTATTTTTCTTTTGAAAATACCACTCATGTTCTTTTAGAAACTATATGCTTTACTCTGTTTTTATTCGTCTCTGAAAAGAACTGCGATGTAAAAGAAAAATCAGCCTTTTTCGGAAAAGATATAAAAGCTGATTTACGTTTTTTTTTGCAAATTGTTCATGTTCTTATAAGATTTTTGAGTGTTACTATCCATTCGGTCATCTTTCTTACTGTCTGGCGTATAGATTAAAAATAAAAAAGTTCTAAATCGATGCGTTTGAACCGAAGTTACGCAACAAAATAGGTAGGCCAAAATCTAACACTGGGTAAATTTTATCCAGTGTTAGATTTTGGTGGCAAATATGGTGTGGTAGTCTAGAGTTAATTTACGATAGGCGTAACTCGTCGTCGTCGTCATCGGCTTATCTTCTTTATTCAGCCGAGGTCATTGCGGCACACTGCCGTTCAGGGACGAGACTTTTGAATTTTCTAGATATGGAGTATCTCAAGCGGGGAGAAGGGAGGGGGGTACGTAATTATAACACAAATATTTTATCTCTTCTGTTGTATGTCAAAATATATTTCTACTTCTATATTTAATTTCTTTTCATATTTTTTCTTTACAAATATAAATATTTTTCTCTCAATTTTATCTCGATATCACGCAAGAACTAGGTCTTTTAGGTAATTATTTTAAATACCCCGAATTCAAGATATGGAATTCCACACCCACGGGATCTCTGAGTGTGAAAAGGTCCATACCCTCCATAGGGAAGTTTCCGTCCCTGCTGCCGTTTAGCGAAACCGAACGTTACGTTCGAATTGTGGCGTGTCACAAAGGCGCGTCTGACGATCTTGTCACGGAGAAACTTGGTAATTTCGATCGGCGACACGGACGATCTCTCCGTCCAGCGGGGGACTACTCGCCGTACAGTTTCGCCGGCGCATTTCACCCAGGGCGCCGCGCCCGCGCGCGCCGTGTGGAGATGCTGACTGATAAGGCATAAAATGGGTTGAAGGCGGATGAGAACTACGGAACAATGGGATGCTAATGATGAGAAAGTGCCGCCGTCTTGTCTATTTCGATCGTACGCGCTCAAGCTGATAAGATGGCGAGAGGGGGATGCCGTACCGTCATCGTCGTCGTTGTTGTCGTCGGACGAGTATATTGTTCTGTTTCCTATCGACATCGCTCGCTGTTAAATTAACGTTTTGTGCGTTCGGAAAGTTGAGAGGTATCGCGGACGCGAGTTGCAGAAAATTCCGGAGACGCACGAAGTGTGCCGCTACACCGATCCTCTTTCGCTGTAAGCGTATATACTTTAAGGACTCTAATTATCTCATTCTGATTTTATAGAATGCGAAATTGACGTTGCCGCGCGCTGATCAAGAAGCGAAATTGATAAGTTAACAATTACTCACAAGGGACATGTCATAATCGTCCGCCGGAACCGATTTGATTCTCCTTGAAATATGTTGTTAAATACAAAAATCTAAAAAACGTACACGGAAAGAACAATTTTGTTGAAACTGTTGAAAGGTCTAAAAATTTTGCTGAAGACAGATCTGAAAATTAATTCTTGTTGAATTATTAAACAATTTTGTTGGACTGTTAAAAATGATAAGCATTAGCTATAAAACGTTTGATATTCTAGCAATTATTTTGACTTTCTCGCAAAATTATTTTTATTATTGAACAAAAATTATTTGCAGATCTGGATCCAGCAAAATTGTTCTTTCCGTGTATATTTTTTTATACGTAGAATTTCATATTTATACGCGAAATCTTATGTTATGAGGTGAAACGCCCCTTTCAAAACGGTTTTTCTTTTTCGGAACGAATATTGTCGGAAGTATAAAAGAAATATAATAGTCCGAAGTATAATACAAAAATTTTTAAACAAAAATTGTACGGTTTGAAGAGTACTTTCAAGATGTAAAGAAAAAAAATTTTTATTTTGTTACTTAACAACTATACTTCCACCACTCAAAGTTTTTTTAAAATTTTTAAAATCGTTAAGTTCGGAAAAAAATAACCTTTAATTTGATAAAAGAATTGCAAAATACAACTTGTAAAAGTACTCTTCAAACCGCACAAATTTTGTTTTAAAAAATGTTTCTATCTTTTATACTTTCGACGATATTTACTTCTCCCTGAAAGGGAAAAACAATTTTCTTTCATAGGTGTGTTTCACCCCTTAAACATGAGATTTCGCATGTATAAAAAATATGTATCTCTTAGATTTTCGTGTTTAACAACATATTTCAAGGAGAATTAAATCGATTTTCCAGACGGTCGACATATCTTGTCAGATAAAGACAAATATATACCAATCGTCTGGAACCGATTTGACTCTCCTCTCCCAGCAATCACAGATTATAACAACAATGTTGCAGCATTATTGTAACATTCCAGCAATATTACAAAATGTTACAATGTTGCTGCAATATTGCAGTTATAATCCGTGTTTTCTGGGATACATATAATTATTATTATATGTATTATATTCATTGTTAATATAAAACGATTGAGCGATCAAGGGCAAGGCCCGTGTTTTTTTACATCTTCCGTAAAGAAAATAAGTTTTCTGTGGAAGCGTACTAGGTATATTAAAAGCTCTGCCGGCGAAAGAAATCGGTGGCA